CTAATGGCCCCTAATCACGCTGCCATCAGGCCCTAATACCCCAGCAGCAGTGCCCTGGCAGCTGCCCCCTCTCCCCTGGCAGAGACCTGTCAATCTCAGTTCATCTGTTTTCTGTCCATCACCCTCCATTCTGTGTCTAACCGCTCAGTTCACATCTAAAAGACACACAACATCAAAACTCCATAAATCTCCTAGACTAGATGTGTAGCCTATTTGATGTCATGCAATCCCGTAGTGTTGCAAACCATTGTTTTCCAGGATGTTTTTGTCACTTAATCAGGAAATACGAGTCCCTGGTACAATTTAAAAAGCATTAACCTGTTAAGCTTCAAGCCCACTTTTGAAAAATCCCCAGAAATCACATACCCAAACTGAAACAGATACAGTTCATGAACCCTTTGCACTAAAAGCACAAGTATGATCTCATTTGAAAGCTGACACCTGGTTGTTTATTGTAAATGTAGAATGAATTATTGTCATAATGAAAAAAACAATTTTAAATAGCTTCAAAGTTTTGTAAAGTTATTAGAAATTTATTTTTATGAAACATCTTTATGAAAATAAAATGGAAGTTGGCCCTGGAGCAATCTAGAAATGCACTGCAGCTAAAGCCACATGTCTGACCATTTTATATTTAAAATCTGAAAATGATAAGTATAAAACTCTGTATTTAGTTAAATGTTTTTCAAGATCATGTCAAATTACTTTATTTTGATTAGACTCTATTAGCAAACTGATGTTTAGTCATCCTCTGAGTCATCTATTCAGTCTATTGTCTCTATTGTTTTGTGGTGCCCCATTCAGTGTCAGTCTCCCCTGTACACATTCACACCTCTCCAGACTGGTTATTATGGATCTAAATATGCATTTCTTTTGTCTGCATTATAGCTACTAACGACTGGCTATTCACAGGCTATTCATAGGGTTTCAAACCCTAATTTCTTTTATCAAAATTCTCACTAAATATTTGAAACTGGTATCAAATGCACTGAAACATTTCAGTAAGCATTCCTATTTAGAAAAAAATCATAAAACAATAACTGCTCGTGGCAGGTGCGCCTGGGCTCGCTAGCATGTTAGCTTAGCACACCATCAATACACGACCATTTATGAGATTAAAATTATGTTTGTGCTCCAAACTTACTATATAACGCAAGTCTAGTGTTTTAAATAATCTTCTGTGATCTAACTTGGCTTCATATTAAAAAAAAATCCGACAGAAAATGTATTATTTAGTGTTCTGAACGATGATGAAATCTATATCGATTAGCATTACATTATAAATATAATCTATTATTATGAAATACCTGGCATGGCTTGAAGAACACAGGTAACTCAAATATCATTGCAATCATGTTTATTGTTTTCAAAACATCTTTATCTGCATGTTACAGCGATCTCTGTCAGCTACTTTCTGTATCACTCAGTGACGTCCTGGAATGTCACATGACTATGGGTCTTCTTCATGATCCATATATGGACTTTTATTGGACATAATAGCGCCCCCATGCCATTGGTATGAATGGAAAACACAGCACATCTCAGTAAGAAGCGATCATAACTTACATCGACGCATTTGGGTATAAATTCAATAAATATTATTCCTGTCTATAGAAATATGATGTGAATCTATGAGAATATATCAATATTTCTCCACATCTGCACATTGTTGAGCTAAAAGCCCTCAGGGACGTTGTTTTGTGAATCGCTGTCATGACGACAGCACGGAGTGTTTTTTATGAATGGACCAGCTGACGCTCATAATTCATATTAAAGGTATCGACTCATTGTTTTCATTTCATAACTCCTGACACAAATTAAGACATAACTGTCACTATAAGTTTCTCAGAATACAATAGTGGTCAAATACTGAATCTTGAGGCTTATATCTTTTTAATGATGTATAGTTTGTCAAGGTATAACATTAAATCTGATAGTATATTTGAACTAAATAAAAAAAAAAACGCTTCAGTGCGCCGACGCTCTGGAGACGGTTAAGAGGTTAACGAGGGCTCATACAACAAACAGAATCAAAGTATTTGTCAAAAAGGCCACACACAGACCTGCTCACAGACACATTGATGTAAACATAAAGCAACACAGTGAAACCGCATACAGCCACGACCTCACAGCTCTCCGTCACATGGAGTGCGACATCTAAACCTTTCCCACAGAAACAATGATGCATTTTATTGTGTCCGCTTAAATCCCTTGGCCACATGGGCCCCTTGAGTTTCCTCACACGCACTTTTCTGTGGTTTGATAATTACAAACAGACAGCACAGTTTTAGCAAGTTCGGATGGTGCTTTGGTGGGCCAATATTTATTCAGGGGTGCGTGCTTCGCTCATGCCCAAGTGATGCCCAGTTACCCAGAGGGCCTGACCTGATTATCATATCCACATGACAAACTGAAGAAGTTGCTATGAACCCTCCAAACAGTGTCCGATTGAGCCTACTGGAGGTTTTGTAGAAATTTATTGAAGTGTTTTTCATTTGTTAAAGCCATTTAATTGCTCATCAAAGTGTCAGATGTCGCAGACCCTCTGGAATTAAACGTCATCACTAGTCTTGGAGCTTATTCTTTCCAAGAACCACCTACTTAGGAAGACAGGTCAGAATGACATGTAAAGCGACCAACCACAGTTACATGCTTTTAGATTATACTTCAATAATATGGCTGCATTCGATAATAATATAAAGTAGGCGAAAAACAGTATGTGACTCATAAAAGAGTAGGCAAAATGTACCCGGATGACCTACTTCTTCCAACGAGAAGTGTGCATATATGATGGACTCTTTACTATCCCATGAGGCCACAGGAGAGGATTTATGAATGGCTGTGAAGCGATGCAACTGATCCCTGGTAGGTCACATGATAATGACAGCATGGCGAATGGAGTATGTCCAGATTACATTCACACTATACACTCATACTATATAGAACATACTTTTTTTAGCTGTCGTGAAGCAAGTAATTATTCAAAATAAGTACCTACTCGAGACAGTGCCCATAATTGCCCATAATTTAATTCATTTTTTCAAAATTATTATTAATTTGATTATTATTATTAATATTAACCCCCCTGATGGCGTGAGCATGCACATATATGCTATACTGTTTTAGTGGTTTGAGGGCTTTTTTTTCCAGGGCTTGATTTTCATACTTGTCTACCTTTTTCCTAGATTTTAAGATGGGCAGCATTCTTTCCACTGGGTGATGTAGTATTTGTGGAATTTTATGAATGATCTCAAAGACCAGGTGATGGTATTTGTTTTTTTGGGTCACATTATTTATATTAGGTGTCCTTAACTACTTCATACTTACATCAAAAAATAAGTACAATGTACTTATTGTGTTCATACTTTTGCTGCTACTGAGGTGGGATACGGGTAAGGTTCGGTGTGGGTAGGTTTAAGAGTGGGTTAAGGGGTAAGGAAATTAATTTCTTAATTTCAGGTGTAATTACATGCAGGTATTTTTGAAAAAATTAAATACAATACAAAACCAACAAAATAAGTGCATTGTATCAAATGTTAGTACATAGTAGTTAAAGAAGACACTTAATATAAAGTGGGACCTAAATGCCAACACTTAAATGCCAATTACAAGGCTGCCCTTATATTCACTTGCCACATGATAATATCCATACAGTTATGGAATAACTCTGTCCTATTGATATACGATAAAGAGCATCACACAGATGGCCGTTAAAATGTTTACATCAGAGAGAAAGAAACAGAGAATGAAGGAGCAGAGAGAGAGATCCAGGTCTCAAAAGCTATCAGCTGAGACTAAAACTCATCAGCCAGAAAACAAACTGGGCCACACATCCCTCTCTGGGTGGTCTGGCTCCACTGCACTCATAGAATGAGCGCTGACTCTCTTCCAGCGGATGCAACTGCAAATCCTGCCAGGGACCACGGGTTTATAGCTACACCCCTCCAGCTCCTGACGCTCTCGCTGCGACCGAAAAATCCTCTGGCTAATGACATACAGGCCTGAACCTGGAGGGGGAGAAAGGGTTAAAGCAAGCCAATTGAGCGAATAATAAGTTCAATTTAGGAGATTGGAGGAGGGCTGGTGTGGAATGAAAACCAGAGGACACCACTGCAAGCTGTTCTGGAGAGAAGGGAACCATGGGACGGAGGGAAGCCTGGCAGGTGGCCAGAGACAGGACACTGAGTTTGGGGGTGGCTTTAGTTCTGCGGGGCTGCATGAGGTCAAGGAACGGATGGGGCTTCACGTAATTAAACCAATTCTTACTATTGCACAAAATAATAAATAACAAAAATTGTCATATATGCTGAGGCAATTCAGTGGGGTTAACGCCAGTGGAAGTTTATCACTTGTATGTAAATGTGCATTTCATAACCCACAATAAGCCCAAGAGAGCACACAATGGAATGAATGCAAAGAAGCCTCCAGCAATCACGTTGTAAAATGCAATAAGGCGTGGAATTATTGATGCAGGAAACTTTTCCTCAGTGTAGTTCTTGTTTATTGTGTTGAAATGAAAGTCAGGTTTGTTTTCAGTTGGGACAAAATGGATATTTTGAATAATGTCTGATTCTAAGGAATTTACTTATGCAAGTGTGATTTATAGAGACACTTCAGATAGACATCGAAGCAATATGCTAGAATATTTTTCATTACTCACTAGATTGCAGTATCAAGTGGTTTATTTATTCAAATTCTCCTAAATGGATAAGCACGAAACACTACATTGTCATTTCCAGTAACATTTTTCCTATTATGGTTTGTTTGATTGCTTTAATGTACAAGCGAAACTGTATTTTGTTTCTTTCCACTCGTTTGTCTCCACTTCTAATCCCTCTACTAAATACAACATAGCACTGTGCATTAGTCACTACTTTCTTCTAACTTCTGTGACTGTAATGTGGACTAAGGATAAAGCAATTTGAGCCATAGACTTGTAGACCACCCAGTTCAGTCAAGAGTTTGCAGGTAGAACAAACCCACACGCAATAGTTCTATAATTCTTTGAATGCACTTTATTTAAACAACAGCATTTGAAAAACAAAATCAAAGAACAAAACATTGTCATACAAACAAAGAAGCCAATTGATGCACATAAGTTAATTATCACTTAGTGATAATGACAATGCATTCGATTGACATGGAAAGTACCAATTCAGGAGTGGCAATCCTGATTCACATTGTAGGCGTTTATGAGTACAAAAACGATGAAAACAATGATGAAAATTATGAGATCGTCTAATTTTGTCATCTCCGAAGCAAAGAACTGGAGCGTTGTGCTTAGTTCAGAGGCACTGTAAGATAAACGAAAGCATTAGCAAGACGAGCAAGAGCATCCTTCCTCAGAAATCCATGGGGTATTGAAAATTATTATGATGCATTTTCTTCCTCTTTTGTTTGTGATATTCTTATGTACCTGTACATTTAATATCTAAGTCACACATTATAAACACAAGGAACATCAAAGTTAGGAACATTGTCCAAATCTAATTGTCTAAATAATGTGTGTAAATATTAGAAAGTGGCAATGGAGACCTTCAGCTTTTCCACCCAAAACTTTGAAAGTCAACCTAATGTTATAGTGGCTTTGTACTGTAGATGAACAGATACCAAACAAATGACTAAAGCCTTTGTCTTAACTGCAACACTTCTCAGACATGCCACTCCAGGAGTCTGCTGCCTCTCAAGAAACTACCCTCTCCACAAGACATGATCACCTCCACTTAACCTCGACACCACAGCATGAGAGACAACGATTACTTTCCCGCCTGGTGAACGAGAAAATGAGGGAACCGAGAGATGGTACAGAGAACTGAAAAGACAGAATGAAAATGAAAGACGTGGATAATTGGGCAGTGACCTTGACCTAGTACTCATCAGGGACTCTTGGAATCTTCTTTGTTTTCTCTTTGGCGTCACTCTCACCACTAACTCTGACAAAGATGAAGAGGAGGAGGTGATGGAGTAGAAGAAGTGCGTGGTTGTTCGCTCCCGCTGAGTGGTAAGCCACCCCCATAGTAGGTTAAACACCAGTCTAGGACACACAGACACATACGCGTGCACACGCTCTCATCATTTATGAGGGTAATTTGGGAGGTGTATATGGACGGACTCATCAGAAGTGCTTGTCTCCAGCTGATCTTGGCTCAGCAGGGTGGCGGGATTTGGAGAAGATGCACGCAGTGTAACGAAAGAGGCGGTACAGGCCTCCAAAAGTGACTGATGATTGACGGGCTTAAGTAAGGTGTAGATCAAGCAGGCAATCACTACCGTGTTATTAAAGACCTTTTGCAGAACCTGCAGGTATCCAAGATCTCCCAGTGAATATTGTGTATCTTGAATTGAATGCAATATCCAGCATTCGTTCCATTTAAGGTTCCGAAGAAGACAAAGCATTTCGACCACTTAGAGGGGAAGATAATACTTAAATGTAACAAACTTTAAAAAGTTTTAAAGTTATAGGGTGAAATAACCTAAGAGACTGTAGACTGCTGTCAGTGAACAAGAAGAAGAAGTTGCTGATTTAAGATTTTTAGGGGGATTACGATGACAGACAGGGAGGTACGTACTGTAAGGTTTATAACCACTTATGATTGACCATAAAGATCCGATTTGGGCAAATGCAGACCTGGGAAAACTCAGGCAAACAGCAAGAGTGCAATCGAAACAAGGAGACAATGCAGATGGGTAAATTGGTTAGAAAATGACTAGAAGAATTCAATCTCTCTAGAGAAGTGAGCAGCAGAGAACCACAACACACTCTTGGGCTGTCAATAGTTGCCAGGTAAGCACACCAGGCTCTTGTGCCTCTAACACTTTCATGTGAATTATTGTCACTCCCTGATCTTATCAGCTAGCTCAAGTCTTTAAGGCCTTACTCTGTTCTTCACTTGAATATAAGTGAAAAATATAGCATGTGAAATCATAACAAGGTACAAATGATCAACGCACTGGATAACAACTTCTCAAGGTTATATACTTACAATACAACCCAACAGACATAACAGTGTGATGTTTATCCTTGTGATCGGGATGCCATCTTCTATAATTTCTGATAAAAATATGTTTATACCCATTTTTAACTAATGTTCTGCTGGAATGCATTACTCATAGGTATGTGCAGGTGTGGACACTGTGCCTATGTGAAAAGGGGCTTCCGCACCGGGTAGTTCAAGGAACTAGCAACCAGGGTGGTTCCCCGAGAACTAAATATTCCCCTAGGGTCGTTGCATTCGCACTGCCAGTAGGAACTCTGAAGTGACGTATAACGCACTTGTTGTTGTGACTTTTATTTTGACGGCGTGAAGGACATTCATTTTGTAGGCGCTGAGAACGCCAGAGCCTGAGCACACAACACTCTCAATCTCCATCTTCATTAGTTTAATACGTTATTAGATATAACTGTTATACAAAGAAAGTAAACAGTGTATAAAAAAGTATTAGTGTTTGCCATGTAGTTGATGTCCAATGTCGCTAGCTGAGCAGAAATACAGGTCCCCTCAAAGTCATGTTGGATTTTCTCAGTGTAAAGGTAGATTTAGAGTTAGTTTGTGGAGTAAATATATAGCCTATAATCTGTGTGTGTACATGGATTTTTAAAATGGCAGGTGCTAGTGTTTTGCATGCGCTCGGCCAATCAACATACAGTTACGTCACTGGTAGTTCCTATTGTGCTGGGTTAGACCCTTCTCTGAAGTAGGAGCTAATTTAGTTCCCCCCCAAAAGGCGTTCCTAGAGCTATCATCATTCCCAGTTCCTACGGTGTGAAAACGGCAAAAAGCGGGAACTTCCGCCATTAGTTTTAGCAACTATGAAAATGTTCCTCCGGTGTGAAAGCCCCTAAAGAGTCAGGATGCTCAAAGTAATTGCAAGAACTACATCAGCATTTTGCACAATAAAGATTCTAAATAAAACATTTCCATTTGAAATAGACAAAACATGGACATAGACCACAATTATCACTTGTTTAAAACAAAAACAGTTTAAGGGTTAGCATATGGTTAACAACAATATTTTGTCTATTATCTGTGAAAGAGCAAGTAGCAGCTGATTTTTTAAAAACAAATCAGAACCCTGGATCCAAGTGTTTTGCCATGGTGTCATGGACAATTTGCAACAGGTGGCCATGTTGCCTCAAGTTACACTGATCAAACTTTCAATCAGAATGCAGAGTTCATGCTTGCTGAGTTCTGATTGGCTCAAAAGAAGGATTGTCATCTTATGCACAAAAAGATCATAGAAATTCCAACGATTCCTCTTAATTCTATTGTTTTAATATTTAACGCCTCATCTGCCAAGTGCTGTTCTCTTTGGAAAAGTACATAATGCTGATAGAATTGACAGTATATATCACATGATTCACTCAGTAACTGCTTCTAATTCTTTCCTCTGTGTTTTGGCAGTGTTTCTTTCTTTCACAATGTCTATCATCACCAAAACATCTGCTGCAAGCCAAGAGCTGATATTAGACCATGAAAATAGAACAACCATAATAACAATAATAACAATAACAACAATAATAATTGAGGGTGAAAATAGCAATAAATAGTGCTGTGGAGATGGGTGTGGCTAAGTGTGGTCAAATCAGGACACTGTGGGCAATAGTCAGTAAAAGAGAGAGCCGTGGGAGGTGACTGAAGAGAGAAGGACTACCGCACTTTCTCACAAGCGCATTTGCTTGAAATGGTTCATTTTTCTCCACTAGGTCAGAAGCAGATGCAGTTAGACTACACCCTCAACATTGTCCTTCTGTCAATAGCAGTCAGTCCATCTGCCTATTACGTTTTATTCTCTCTGTCTCTGAGAGAGCAAAACTGTAATGAAACCAACAGTTTAAACAGATCTGTATAAATCTTACGGATTAGTGATGTTGTGCGCAGTCTGTGTTGGGTGTGCATAGGTGGTGGGGGTAAAGGAGGGATTTCTTGAACTGTGTGGGACTGCTTGGAATGATCGTTGTGGCTGGTTGTGGGAGGGATGGCGCGGTCTTCAAAAGCACCATTGCGCTAACTGTAGACCTTTCAGCACACCACATGTTTATAGTAGGGATCCTGGGCTGGGCTGATGTGTACACCCAAGAGCTCATCTGTACCTCCAACCCAACTGACTGCTTTAGCAGTCAAGCACGGCCCTCCGTTGGCGACCGACAGAATGCCCCATCATGGAGGGGAAGAAGAGGACAGCCACAGCCGCCCACTAGACTCCCTGATCGGGAAGGAGTAAAGTTGTTGGTGTCCTATAGGAGATCCATGGCTCATCTAAAGCTCTGTCCCTGCCATTTTAACCCTGTAGAGGTGAAGAGGGGTCATGGATAGTGGTATCTTATAATAGCTCCTCTGCTTTCTGATTAGAAATGAAATACTTGGTGAAAGACTGGCCTTCTTGACATTCTTAGCATGCAAGTTTGAATGCTTGTGACAACATGGGGTTAAGGCAGCCATCTTGAAACCTGCCGTAATTTGACGATTTACATCTAGGAAATGAAAGCTTTCCAGCACGCCAAATACTTTCCTTGTAGCACACTGTAGGGATACTGTAGCTTCTGTACCATCACATCCCTGTAAGTAACTAGTGAGGTATGAGGCCAGGAGTAGCTCACAACTAATTTTTCTACATCAACACTTTACATACCTCCTTAATCAAAATGCAGATCTTGTTTGATTTGGTCCTCAGAGGACACGCTGTCTTTGTCAGTAAATTTCTAATCTATCCGCAGCACTCTCCTCTCCTACAGAATAGTTGTAAGTGCTCACTCCTCGCCTCTACCCACCTACAGTATAGTCTTTGTGGAGGCTGTTTTATCTCTGATATTCTGCCTGATCTCGGGGACTTGAGGATGAACCACATGGGGGCAGGGAGCTGGGTCTGGCTGACCCCAGAGGCAGGCCTTTGTCTTTATTCTCATCTTGGCCAGAAGAAACAGCTGGAGTTGAGACAGAGTTGGCCCCTCCGGCCGGCACACTCTCATGCCCACCGTAGATCTCCTCGTGCCCATCTTCACTGGACTCTGCATCCTCTGAACTGGAGAGCAGCTCCTCATCGCGGTATTCGGACACGTCTACACCGCCACCCTCAGATCCAAGCTCCTTCAGTCGGCCATGATGCTTCACATGATAGCGCTGATTCTGGAAAAACTTAACGATAGTGTGTTTGGGCAGATCCAATTGGGCTGAAAGGGTGTGAATCGCTTCTTGGTCAGGGTAGAGGCCCACATCTTGGATAAAGCTCTGTAAAATGCCTAGAGCCTCTAGAGAGATCTTGGTGCGGGAGCGAGGTTTCTTGGTAATGTTGCTAACCCCTCCACTGTTGCCTGAACCTGCATTAGCCTGAGGGTTCTCTTCGGCTCCAGAACTGGGAACAGGGTCCTCTCGGATTGGAGAGTGGTCCTTTAGCGGCTGCATGGGCTGTCTGTGAAGTGCCTAGTGAGAAAGATGAGAAGTTGTATTAGTAAACTTATAAACAAGAGTCAGCAGTATGGAATAATTGAAAACTGCTTAACAGTTCAAAGTGTCCTTTCAATGAATGTCTCTTGGAGTTAATGTCCTCTCTGCACTTAAGTATGTGATCAACTCTGGTAAAAATCCAACCAGACTGCCCCAGGCTATGATTGTTTAACTTTGTATATTGTACACATAATTCCACAAGATTGAATATTTTGTCATTGCATCGTGTTTTGAGGGCATCAAGGCAACTAACAGCATCTGAGCTGACACATCAACCACATTTAATTCAACAGAGGAAGAAGCTAAACAAATACTCACCAAAACCAAAATAAATTACATCAAAAAAATCTGTTATGAAGAAATGTGTTTTAAAACAACATTACATTTGATGTAGTGATAAGTTGGTTTTCATGTAATTTTGACAGGGATACATCCTATCCCTGTTAGCATAGACAAGTGACTGCTAAATTTAACAGAAAAAGTAATGCAAACACCAAAACAAAGACAGCCAGAAATGACACTTTTGACTTTGACGTGAGATGTAAAATTGTTACCATATGCAATATGATATTGTCTTGTACAAACACAGTGTAACTATTAGCATTTTCCAACAAGTTAGTAGGCTAACAGAGCTACACTATTGTTTTTACAGAGATTCTGAGGCCCTCCATATGTTTCATATGTCAATGAATCTGCCATTTTCTTCTTGTGTGGGTGGCAAAGTACGTAGGTATAGGGAGAGGCACGGAAGGGGGATTGGGGGAATAGAGTGCAAAACAGTGGTAAAATAGGATTAGGAGTAAATAGTATATATTTAGTACAGGAAAGAAAGAGGTAGGCTATCTGTGAGCTCTGATACAAGGGAAGGTGCAGTGTGTCACAGCTGAGCTATCAAATACTGTGGCGCTGTCCTGCTGAGTTTATGACCAGGGTGGGGTGCCCAGTGCCTCCACACTGGAATGCTAAGCTATAAATCTGCGGTGCATTAAAATTAAAGGACCTACATAAAGATAATAGTCATGCGCCTCTCTCTCTGTCTCTCTCTCTATTCCCTAAATAATAACAGGGTATTTTTTAAATAATATTGAGGGCAGGCCAGACCATGAAATTGCTCCGATTTCACTTGTGGGGGCTGTTTTGGGCTGGCGCTTTACAGGAAGTGTGTAGGTTTGTTCTTTTTTCTTCTCTATTTCTCCATAATGTATTACTTTCCATGTCTCAGAGAAACAAACAGAGGCCACAAGAAAGGATGAGGAAAAAGAAATTTGAAGAAGTTTAAAGATGGTGAATAATTAGATTGACCACAAGGCATAACAGCACAAAATACCCGTTAGCTTAGCTAAAGAGACCACACACACACACGCGCACATTGACAAACCCATTCATCGTGTATATGTTTTCTTGTTGTGTATATTATTTTATGAAAATCTGGGAACAAGTTAGTTAAGTTTCAAAGACACATGTACAGTACAATCCAAAATGCACAACACACACATTTAATAGCAACTTATAGCATTGTTTTGGCATCCTAAGGGATATTTTCAAATTCAGAGATGGAGTGTGAGTCCTCTAAAATCAAATTCATAGTAAATCATAAGAGGCCTGTTCCTGTGCTTTAATAGTGGACGCTAATGAAGAGTTTTTCTGCCAGGCCAGAGGAGTAATTCCATTTTTAAAATCTTGCTTTAGCTATAAAGCCAACCTCCGATTACCTCCACCGTCCAATTCATTCACCTACTCAGTTCTTAAACAAAGTCTTCTCAACCACAGGAGTCACATTTGGACACAAGGCCATTTTTTCCCCTGAACTCTTTTTTCTTTCAATGTTCCATTTTTCCCCTGAACTCTTTTTTTCAGTGTTCATCTCCATCGCTTCCTACTTTTCTAATTCCAAGGACGGGTCTCTGAATTCATTGCATTAAGAAAAAGTATAATTTTTTCTTTAAACACAAATCAAGGCAAATTATGGTGAAGTATGAAAGAATTATAGAACATAAAAAATTCAGTTGATTCTTAATGAGGACTGGCCCTCGTGGGGGCGGAGGCAGGATTAAGTGGGGCTGTGTTGCCACTGGAGATGCCATTAACAGGCAGATAAATATGTAATGATGAGAAAGACACTTTCCTGTTGGTTTGCTTTTGCATGACTTCACCTTCTCCAATTATCATGTGCATCATAATTTTTCTTTGCTACATTGCAATACCTCAGGAATGGGCGAGTCATGTATGTGTGTGTCTGTGTGTGTGTCTTGATATATTTTAAGAATAAGTAGAGTTTAGGCAATCCACAAAAATAAAAGAAACAGGCAACAAGTAACTAAGTACAACACGATGATTAAACCTTATTTATCAACACAGCACACATTAATCACTCATCCTAGTATGAAAGCATGTTACTGCCTCAGAGTACAAAAAAACTTACATTTTATCTCAAAATGTATATTATTTTCTTTGTAAATGCAACATCTGACACAGTGACTTTATATCGCGTAATTGTGACTAGTACTTATTTCAAACTTTCAAATCTTGCTATTACCTTTTTTTACTTTTTCACACTGAGGAAGAAACAGGCTTCCATACCCTATTAAATTAAATCAATACTATATTATATTAAATAAAATACTTGATTAAACAAAAGCTGCAGGACTTGTTCACTGAGCTCTGAATAAGGCCTTAATATCTTTATTAAAGGGTCAGTATTGTCCGTGAAAATGTTTGCCATGCTAAGTGTGTGTGTAAGCAAGCAAGTATGTGCATTGCTCGCTCTTCTCCAACCCCAGCACTCAATTGGGGTCCCAAACCACATGGCAGGGTCTAGGGGGCACTCCAGTGCACATCGCAGCATCCAATTTAGCAAAAACAAAGGAGAAATTATTCATAAGAAATGTCCTGCCAAATGAGCAAAGAGAGGCACTTAAGACCACGCACACACACTGCGGAAACAGCGTGAGGACGATGTGGGACCAGGTCAGCCACCTAGATTGTGTTAGTGTGACTGAGTTTGTCCCTAAGGTGAGATAAGCTGCACCCAGGGGCTCACACGGACCCATCCTTGAATGGTTGAAACCTTTAAAAAAAAATCGCCATGATTCATTTTTAAAAAATGGGACGTGGGTTCCCTTGGCGGCGGGGGGGGGGGGGGGGGGGGGGGGGGGGGCACAATGGGGGGGGGGGGGGGGGGCACAATGGGTGCTAGGGAGTCTGCAAAAAAGGTCACAATTTTTTTTGGGATTTGATAAAAGTCAAAGACAAAAAATAAAAGAGAATGACAACATTCTTTATAAAACTGCTTTGGAACACTATTTATGTTTATTATTTATGCTCTATAAAAGGTCTAAATGTATCCTAAAAGGGTAGAGAAAAGATACACTGTTCATTTTATACAAAGCAATGTTTTTTTTTAAAGATAATATTGTAATAATTAGCTTTTGGTTAACGACAATAAAAAATTCTGCAATGCTGTTCTTTTCAAGGATATCCATGTACACACCAAGCATTGTCTTATGAGACAACACAAATGACATGCTTTATTTGGTCTGACATGTGAATGTAACAGGATTTCATGGTTCAAACCAGAGGAGGACTTGTGCTGGATCTTTGAGTTATGTTTGATTATCTTATAGGTTAAAATAAATACATCAGTGTAGTCTGTTGGTCACACTGAGGTGGTATCTGCTAAATAAACTGTATACATGTATGTGTTGCATGTGTATTCATTCATTAACATGCTCATACATAAGCAGCTGGGACACATGTGCTGACTGTGGTGGCAGGCAGGCTGGAGCCGAGGGGGCTGCTGGGGATCTAAAGAGGGTCCCTCATAACTACATCAACAAAAAAAACAAAAAACCCCACCAACAACAGCAACATGCTCATGTATGGCATTTACGTGTTGACACAAAACAATATTGTCAAACCTGTCTCATTTTTAATTTCCTTTAGAAATAAAATAGTCTGTACACAAAAGTGTCAACAATGGCTCAGTGAAGTGTAATTTATGAATTTATTTAAATGATCAATACATTAATATTACATCACATTAAAAAATACTTTAAAAAGTGATTATGAATACAACAATGCTTTAGTAAATGCTGACTTTCCTTATGTGTTTTTATGATAAAAGTTGTGCAAGAGTTCATGGCCAAAGTCATTGTGGAGTTTCTAAAGAAACTTGAGTCATTACACGCGCGTGTGTGTATGAGATTTGCGAGTGTTCCTTCTCTTCCCGTAATTATTAATATCAGGGCTGTGGTGGCACTGTCTGTCAGGGTGTGTCCTAATGGGGCATTTCCTTCTGCGCCCAAAACACATAAATGAGTATATTTACACACATACACATGCTGCCAGCAGACTGTTTATTCCACTAACATAAAAGAGAAAGCATGCGAGAGAGAAAGAGGCGCAATGGGCTAACAACACAGTAACTGAGAGTCACTCTGTCTCCATTTGTTAGTACTTAATCTTAATACGGCTGCTTAACTTAAGTTAATAAATGTTAATAAACAGCAATCATTGTGAGTGAATTAAACCACAATGCTTTACTGGCAGGGTGAGAAAGAAGAGTAGGTTAAAAGAAGGTGGAAAGCATTGATCCAAGTGTTTGTAGATTTATGTGTATGCAGTTTGTGTGTGCATGTATTTACATACAAGTATTAGTGTGTAGATGTGTGTGTGCATACTGTGAATGAATACGTGTCTATGTTAATACTGGAAAAGTGTGTGTCCACAGTCTATATTATAATGACCCTGGCTGGCATAGGGGAAAGTCCATTTAATCAGTAGCGCGTTATTTGGATTTCTGTGTATGTGTGTGTGTGTGTGTGTGTGATTAAAGAGGTTGGGGTGTGCTGGGTTATTAGCTGTTGGCAGGAATGCTGTATGAATGATGCTGATATTAAAAATGAAGTCTCAAAGAAGTGTGCATTCACACAATGAACACACATTCATATTATCTTAAGATAATTATGCTTAAAATATTTATGTGAAATTCGCTTTCCCTCCACTTTTAACACTAAAGTCTTATACACTTAGGGGTCAAATTATAATTTTTTTACTTTTAATATTAATCAAGGTTTCTCGCAGGAAAAAAACACCTTCTCTCTTAGAATTAAACAGGCTTTTTTGGGGGCAAAAAACAACAGGCAATAGAGAGAACTTTAAAGTAAAATAAAATAAATAAAATAAAATGCTGAAAAGTTAGGGTCAGATTGTTAAAAATATTTTTTTTGAATAATAGACTGAATATCTGCTTTTGACATAAATGCAGGCGGTTTTGTTAATTTCATCTGCCTGTCATCAGAAAGTTATAGAAGATCAAAATGAACATTTAATAAATGGTCTATCTGTACTGAGAGGAATAAAGGAACATTTCATTTCTGCAGTGCAAACGCCACATTCAACTGCTTTCTTTTGCCATACGTATTTGAAGTATGCAATTCGATGTTTCAAAAAACTCACCTGAGGGTCAGTGGGCAAGTGTAGTACAGTGTGCAGCCGTTCGCTGTGGTGATGGCGGGACTCTTCTTCGTACACTAGATCCCTGTCTGTCTGCGGAAGGCTCAGAAACCTCCTGATGGTACACAGGTTCTCCCAGAGAGTCCTGTTCTCTGGGCTGGGACTCTCTTTCCAGCGAAGCAGCTCGCATAGCCATCCCTAAAGAAAGAAAAAGGGTTCATTGCATGTCTTGTTTAGCTGAAGGTATTTTTTCCAACAATATCACTAAATAGTATCAATATATGCCTTGTCTACTTAGTTGGATAGGCTACCCACTAAAGCTCTGCTATAGGGACTTTCTTCTCTTTTTGGGCATTTATGTCACTTGAATATATAGGAATGATGGGCAGAATGTGACGTGAAACAACTCACCCCTCATTCATGTTTTTTTTTATGACTGTAAAGTTCACTTTACAGTAAACAAGTACCACCACAAAGCATCACAAGTGCACTGAGAGAGCTGAGAGTGTGTGAAAGAGAGAGTGAAATGGTGAGAGATTAGGAAGATTTAATTATCTCTGCTAGACTGGTCCAGTCTTTGACACCAGCTGTTGTGTGCAGCCAACCTCTTCCAGCACACATTGTTAATGACCTGAGCATCTCTCTCTCTCTCTCCTTCTCCCTCAGCTCCTCCTGGCCAGCTGCAGCAGATGGACGCGTTCAACCGTGACCCCCCACCCGACCCCAGACCTGTGAGACCTAACCACATCTGTCGCACACATTGGTATATATACACACCACCAGAGCAGCACTTTGCTGACACATCTCATACACGCAAACATGCAAAGATGCCCCTGAAACATGCCTTTAGATGAGGTGGTCACACCTGCAAAGCCATGCCGCAATGACACAGAGTTCCTCAGTAAAGTGAGCAGCAGAGACCAAAGCTCTCTCAGGCTATTACATGGAAAGAATTAGGCGCAGCTGGGAGTGGGATCATATTTGACTAAATCAATTATCTCTCTTTGATCTAAATGAGACAGAGACAAACAAATGGTCCAATAGCTTTTGAAAAAAAATCTTTATCAACACTCTGAAATGAATGCCTTTTCCAGCTAAAGAATTAGCTGAAAGAAAATTAGAGAAAATTATCATTGTTGTCCTTTGCACTCAGACAATGTGGCCACTAACATTTTCTAAAAGTGAATTTAAAACAATTGGATATATGGATGGATAGACAGATACATAGATATCCACTACTGTTCAAAAGAAATGTCCCCAAGGCTGCATTTATTTGATCAACAATCATTCTTAAGGCCTGTTCACACCGGGACGAATTTCGCGCGCGTTATTCGCCGACGTTTAACGCCTCGTGACTAAACAAAGGGCGCCTATGCGAGTGTGCACACCGACGCGTAAAAACGCCACGCGTAAAAGCGTCATTTTTTAAAAAACGCCTCGGGTTCGTTTTTTTGGTTTGACGCGCCACGTCAAAAACTATCCGACCAATGAGATTGGCGCTTTTGCTCACGTGTCTGGAGCTTCTGAAGTTACAGTAAAACACAACTTGGGGGCGCTCAAACACAAAACGGTCTTGCTGAGCACACATACGTAATGGCGAAGAAGATATACAGCGTCTATACTCTGCCGGGAAGAAATAAGACGAGGAAGATGCAAGGCTAGATGAATGTAGAGCTGCTGGTCTTGTTGGTGTCTTTATAAAGAGACACCAACGACAATAAAGAACTATATGACAAACGCGACAAACTTGCTCTCTTCTTCTGAGTGACAAGCGAGTGTCAGAAGCGTAGTTGCGCAGCGCCACTTTGTGGACCGGGGTATTTCTGTTTTACATTAAGCGCCATCTAATGTCAGGGAATGAATTTGCGTGTTCACTCGGCTCATCGTCAGCGAAAATCGCTTGGGTGTGAACACAAAAAACGCGTTGAAAAACGCTGACGAATAACGCGAGCCGATATTCGTCCCGGTGTGTACAGGCCTTAATATGCTGATTTACTGCTCAAGAAACATTTCTTATTATTAGCAATGTTGAAAACAGGTGCACTGCTTAATATTTTTTGCAGAAACTGTAAATTTATTTTTATGTATGACAGAGGAAAATAGAAATTTAAATTGCTCTTTTTATTTGCTCACCAAAGCAAATAAGAAGTGTGTTTTGCCAGGTGTTAATTTTGGACTCTGGACAACTTTATGAATAAGCTTAAAGCTTATAAAACATTAAAAAAGCAACAAAAAAAAGCAAAAGTAGATTCCCATGATGTGCTTTTTATAACTGCTACAATGACAGTTTACAGCTAGAAAATATTTGAGATTTTAAAGGCCTCAAAAGCACTGACTATTGCACTTATACATTGCAACACATACACATATACACATACATATAGTCACAATATTCTGCATTCTTTATATAGCTATGTGGGAACAAGTGTCAATGTAAAAGGTATGAGAACAGTAATCAGATCACTCTATGGAACACTGCATGCACGTCTGTATTACAACATAATTCACGATGACTCATTGGACAGAAGAGAAAAGCACTGAAAGAAAGAATGAGATCCTTTGGCAGGATCTGGAATGGTGAGCCAGAGATGAATAAATGGAAGGCATTTATCAGACTATCTGTTGATGTTGATGTTTTTGTTTATCAACTACAGAGACGCGCCAGAATCAGATATAAATTACTGCACAGACGGAGACGGACACCGTTACTTCCCCTACACTGACTGAGAAAAGAACATGTAAGCTAAGTGTAAGCTTGGTCTTTTCAAAATAAAACAATCACTGTCTCAAATATCCTATCCATCAATATTTCAAGCACATAAAAATAGATTTTTTAAAATTATATATATTTAATAATTATTTAATTATTATTTCCATAATAAAAGGGTCCCTCGAGAAGCTATAAGTTCATAAATCCATTTAAGCAGAAGCACCTGAAAGCACCTCAAGTAACCAACCTCACTTTTACAGTGTACACTTCGATGAATTAAATGTATTATTAACAATTATCATATGAAGATACCAAGTTGATTCAATTCTCCAGTACAATAAAATACAATGGAAACTTATGTATAAGATGTCCTTGAAAAGTAGAAGACAAAAGTATTATGTTTTCTCTGTGTATTTGTTATTTGAAAATAGTTAACCGAAATTAGAACTAGTTATTTAAAAAAATGAAAGAATGGAAACACGTCAGGATTATGAACAATTACGAGAGAACGTGTAAATAATTACTGAATCAGTTCTTACTTGGCTCTTATTGGCTGCCACCTTGGCAAAAAGTGCCTGAGACACTTTTGCCCGTTTCATCTCTTGCTGGATTTCATCGTAGACGGCTGAGGTGATGTTAACCAGCGGCTCCAGTTTCAGGGGAAGGTCAGGGTTAGGACCACAAGTCTTGGACTGTGAGGGTCCAGCGGTCAAAGTTAAAAGTAACAAAGAAGACAGATTGGTTAGCTATACATTCATACTGTAATTGCTACAGACAGTACAATATGAGAACATTCATGGATGATATTTCAGACCCTTGTTTATACCTACAATGTACTGAGATTTTAGCAGATAAATCATTAAAGCATCCATAAGTAAACTCTTTGTTGTACATGTTTGAAGTATGGTGTATTGATTTTAGAGTGGTGTGTTTTCTCATTCAATGTTTGAAGTTGCTCTGCAGGCACAGGCAAGTAATCTCACATTCCCCAGTAAAAACGATTGCAAGATAAACACATACAGACATAATAGTAATGATAATACACAACCACATTCCCTAAGACCAAAGAATGAGAACTTTGTTCTCGTATCAGAAGGATTTTTATTATCTGCATGGGTTCATTCACCAATGGTCCTGAGGTTGAAAGCAGACGCATTCATATGCCTCATACAAGCATTCTAGAAAGTCCACGCACCAGGTTCCAGGTCATTTAATATAAACATGCCATGACAGGAGCAAAGCCATGCTTTCAAGAATTTGTAATTTTAGAGAATCAAGGACGAGAGCTTGTGAACCTGAAGTTTTAATGGGTGTGTGTGAACCCTGTAATCTCTAACAAACATTAGTATAAACAGTATTCCATATAAACAGTATAAATTTGACCGTCTGTAGTAGCTTGACTTATTGAGCATTTATTTTCAAAATGAGAAAAGTGTAATGCCTACAACTGATCACTACTCATATAGATCATGGAGGTCTCGGATGAGGTACACTCTATGAGGAAATGAAGTGAGTGATGATGTAATCCTCACCGAGTTTGTGATTTTGGTCTTATTCTTCCAAATAGATGCCCACGCGTCAGGAGTTAACTGTTCATCGATGCTGCGCTCCCACACTTTCTGCATTGGGAGGTATGGTGTGACATTAGCAATAAGAAGGTAGCAATCAGATATTAGCTAGTTTGACCCTCAGACGGCACTTTCTTGAAAGTCATAGTGGTTGTTTTAGTGAATTATCCAAATTGTTATTCTCAGTATGTCAATATGTATTAATATTCAAAGACAAAATATAATTTACATCATACTAGAATAATAGCTGCGTTAATAACACTGACTTAAAGCTGGAATACACTACAAGACTTTTGCCCAGATTTTTGCCAGACTAGTCGATGCTAGTTGCCAAAAATCAGAGCCACTCAGCAGATTTTGGGCAGTTGGAATTAACATTTTTCACAGAATTTTGCATAAATGATATAATAGCATATGTGAACCTGTACCACAAAACCAGCCATAAGAGTCCATTTTGAAATTGAAGATGAGATTGAATAAATAAGCTTTCCATTGATGTATGGTTTGTTAGGATAGGACAATATTTGACCGAGATACAACTATTTGAAAATCTGGAATCTGAGGGTGCAAACAATTTTAAATATTGAGAAAATTGCCATTAAAGTTGCCCATAAAGTCCTCAATTTTGCTGCATCCACTCACAAAAAAATATATTTTTAGATATATACAGTAGGAAATTTACAAAATATCTTCATGGAACATGATCTTTACTTAATATCCTAAAGATTTTTGGCAAAAAAAGAAAAATCGATAATTTTGACCCATATGTATTGTTGGCTATTGCCACAAATATACCCTTGCGACTTATGACTGATTTTGTGGTATCACATATGATAAGCACAGACTAAAATTTTTTAGCTCCAGACTATGATTCCATCCAGTCGGAGGATATAAAACATGTTTGATATTTTGAGCTAATTTTTGAGTTTGTTGTGTTCTGAACGACTTGAAAGTCTGGTAGTCCGTGAATGTTTATTATATGAAGCCCAGTTTTTTTTAATAACTATTTACGAAGTCGGCACTTGTGTGATGCCTACTATTTTAAAATCTCTTCAGATTTTAAAAGTCGTGTAGTATATTCCAGCCTTTAATAAACACAGTTCTTGCATTTAAAAAAAAAAAAACGTAGCTGTATTACAACCTGATACGGAATACAAAGAAAACAACAAAGTGTAAGCCAAACAAAACAAGTAAATAGATCACATGAATTCAGACAAGAAACAAAAGCAATCTCATAGGCCTACAGATAAACAATTCAGAATCAGACACAACAAAAGCTTTCAGGTATTTTTACACCCAGTCAATAATACACACACAAATGCAACAGGGGAAGAGGGATTTGTAGGGGGCTGAACCTAGTAAAGTGTGAGAACGTGGGTACCTGAGAGATGCGGACGCCCCCAGGGCTGGGGTTTGTGCTTGGGGGCAGACTCACAGGGGGGTTCATGCTGCGTTCTCGCTCTTCCTGGTAAATGCGGTCCCTCTCGCTCTCATGTAAGTTCAGGAAGTTCTGCATCGCTTTGAGGTTCACCAGCAAGGACTGAGAGGCTGAGCGTGGGTCTTCCTCTTTTCGCAAGATCTCTGACAACAGGCCCTGGTGTACACACATAAACACATACGTAAGCACAGAGGAAGCTCTTTTTTTCCGCAACACATTTATGCAGTTACTTCACCTGCACCATGTAGGACTCTCTACCCACACTTTGACTGACTGTGCACGATGTTGGATGTAATTGAACATAATTTAGACCTGCAGTGACTCTGTGAATTCACCAGGTGTGTTTTCCGCTGAGAGGGTGTATGAGAGGATCCAACCTCTGGATACCAAAGCAATCACGCTGACATGCTCAAAGCGACTCATAGATCTGAAACCTCCAACAGAACAACTTTGACACCTTGATGATCCTCTTGTATTTAGTTCAGTGCCAAATTAGACTTGATTAGTCCAGATTTGTACATAATTTAGTCTGTGTATGGGATAGTGACCAGGGCTAGCAATAAACCTTATAGATATTATGTTGTGATATTCTTTTTTTGTGATAGATGTTTGCTGACATTCAATATATTTCTCAATATTTATGTATTTTGCATTAGTCTTTACAAAAAGACCATTACAATTAAAAAGTGCATTAAAATCATTGTAATATTCATGTTACACAAGCCAAATCATTACGAAAACATCATGAATATTCAATACATTGCCCCACCTAAGTGATTGGTATGTTCTGAAGAAGTTCTTTGCTATTATACTTGGTGAACCTTCTTTGAACTGTCTCCATCCTGCGAACAATATGTGTACTATTTCAGCACCATGCTGTCTGTACTGTACCTGTGTACGGTTGAAGGCAACTCGAGCGAACACTGCCTGCGAGACACTGGCCCTTTTTAGCTCATCTCGCACCAGTTGGTAGATATCAGATGAGACTTCTGCAGCCGAGGGGTTGGACCCGGGTTCTCCAGGGCCACCAGACTTGCTAGGCCGCGGGATGGGTGGGTGATTGAGAAACTGCTGGTTAAGAGCCTGCGGGTGCTGATGCAGGAGGCGGCTGACGGCCAGCTGCTGGTTGATAAGATGGGCCATGGCTAACTGCTGTCTCACCAGCTGTGGACTGAGCTGGGGTGAGAGAAGTCCTCCGGGTGCCAAAAGAGGTTGCAAGGTGGCAGGCGGAGGTGGAGGAGGCACCTGTGCCCGTAGTGGAGGACTGTGGTGGAGCTGCCCATGAGATGATGAAACTTGCGGCTGGCCTTGGGATGGAGGCTGAGACTGGGCTGAATTCTGAGGTTCTCCAGAGCCACCTTTCACAAGAGAGCTGGTGCTGTTCAACGGACCGAGCTGTGCTAGACCAGCCAGGTGAGGGGGCGGACGCTGGGCTAATACACAGAAGTCAGCAAGACTGTCCCTTTCAACTGTAGAGGAATGGATATGCGTATCAGACACAAGAACAAACTCTGTAGTGTTTTGGTTGACAAATCAAATACAGGTCTTTTCCCAAACAAACATCAAAACGTAGATGCTTACCCTTGATTTCCGAGCTCTCCCGCCCTTGCCACAAATAATCCCCTAAAACAGACACAAGGAACGCATGGTAAATGACAAAAGCTTTCACTTACTTACTCAATCACGCTTACAATGAAACAACAACATTCTTTCATGAGTAGAAAGTTTTACAACTTCGGCTTACAATCGTATGACTGACACGTGAGTCATCCAATGGGGTCTCGCCGCACTGGCACACACATCTGGCAATGCGGACTGAGTGTTTAGCTCTGGGAGGCAAAGAGCAGAACTAATGGAGGGGGCTCGGTGTAACTCAACACCACTTACTCTGTCAGCGTGCCGAGAATCGCTTTATTCTTTGTTGGCGCTCGCTCTCTCACTGCACTTGGGGTTTAGCCCCCACTTTGATCTGTCCTGCTGTGTAATTATTTCACTTTTTGAAGAGGCAACGAGAGGAGGAAAATTGTCACAGGCATTTGGATGCTAAGAGGCTTAAACAGCGGAGCTGTGGGGCGACTCCCAGTAGGACTTGCCGCTGGAGACCCCCTGCAGCATTTTGGGGGAAGAAACAGTGGTTTCTATTAGGAAGTGAGGAGGCTTAGGTTACCCCATCCTGTGTAAGGAGTCATTAACCCTCTGGGCTTCTTCGTCCGAAAATGACCGAAAACGTTTACATTTTGAATTGTTTAATTTTTTTGCTTCATCGGATGGGGGTGAAACTTGGTGACTTTTGTTGTATTACCTATATGAACACACAAAAAAATCAAGGAGATGATTCTGATATGTTAAAGGGTCGTAAAAAAAATAGTCACACTTAGCTTCCTCCCGGTCAAAAACGGGCGACATTGGAAATGAATGGGAAATATGAAAAAATAGGAAAACTCAGAGAAACTTTTGGTGGTACAAGCTACAGATCAGCCACTGTGCAGAAAAAAAGTGTACAGCAATGAAGGGGTGACACTCTAAAACATCAAGAGTGCAAATAAGACCCCCACACACACACACACACACACACACACACACACGCACACAAACACACACACACACATACACAGATATACTGGCAAGACTGCAACAGCAAATTTGTAGAATATGCAAAATAAAATCAATAAATGAAAAAAAAAATCTCTCTCAAATGCCCACACACACACACACACACACACACAGAGAGAGAGAGAGATTAACTGGTAAGACTGCAACAGCAAATTTTGAGAATATGCAAAAATAAATAAATAAAAAATACCAATTTATTGCTAAATGTCTGTATAAAGTGTTTTGAATTATCACTAACCATCCCTTATTTTGTTTAATTATTTGAATGATCAAATACTGAGTAACAAAAATGTTTGCATTGTGTTCCCTTTCTAACCAAATGCTATAGTTTGATTTTAATCATAATGCAAAACCTGATACTTATCTAAAAAAAATTGTTAAAAAAATAAAGTAGTCTTTTAGAATATCTAAATGTATTTAAATAAAAAAAAAAACGAATAAGATAGAGAAATCATGTCTAAAACAACAAAAGGAATCAAAAAGCCTTTCTATGTATTTATATAGGAAGCTATAGGCAGCCTACAGGCTGGTACAGGACATTGCACACATTTAACTATTTTTTAAAGCCACTAGATGGCGCTCTTCTACTTGAACATTTTTTTTTTTTAGGCTGGCACTCTATTTTGATGTGAAATGTTGCATTTATTGATTTAAAAAAATATATATATATAAAATAAAAATATATATATTAATTCTAATGGAAAAAATAACTCATAAAATTTATATAATTAATGCAAAGTATCATAAAAAATTCAAAAAATTCTAAATAATAATCAGAAAATATTATAGAACAAAACAATATTTGATTGGTTATCCTGGGAAAAAGTAAAGTTACATTTTAAGGCTTCGTCCGTTTTTGACCGGGAGGAAGCTAAGTGTAACCCATTTACGAAGAAGCCCAGAGGGTTAAGAGATAATGTATAAAACGCAGCACAAAGCTCAAGACTTGCTCATGACCCTGAACACCTTACCACGCTAGAAATGGGACATCTCATTAAAAAACAAAAACGCATTCACTGTCTGAATATGCCTACTTCCCGACTATATAGTAGGCGAAGAACAATATGTTAAAAAGAGTAGTATGTCCGAATTCATAGTATTCATAAAACAAGAGTCGAAAAGTACGTGGGGGACCTATTGCTTGACAAAGTACCCAGATGATAGGCAAAATTCTGAAGTGAACATCTAAGGGCCAGTTTACTTCTCCATAAGGTCACAGGAGAGGAGTCGGCAGTTGCAGTGAAATGACGCAACGCAACTGATGCCGTAAGTCAATTGACAGTGACAACATGACGGATATAGTACGTCCGGCTTTCATTCAAATTATACATATTCATACTATATAGAACATAGTTTTTTAATGGTTACAAAGTAAGTTCTTCATCAAATGTAATACCTACTCAGACATTATGCGATTTCGGACGCAGCTATGCTTTCCTGACCAGTCTACTGTGCTGAAGTCAGGTTAGCCTTTTTTTTCCCCACTTGTTTTAAGATGGCACCATATAACAAAAAATATAACCAAAAAAGTAATTAGCAAAAGCCTTACCTTTAATTTTTTTGTACTTCTTGTACCAGCGACCAAACTCTTGGCATTTTGCAGTTGAGACGTTAGCATAGTAGGAACTATTCACTATCGAGGAGATCATACTCTGGAAAAAGTCCAAGAAATGAGAGAGGTCAGTAAAAAGGAAGAAATAGGAGTAACGACAGAGGATAACGGAAATAAACACACATGGTCAAGATCTTAAAATTGCAATGATAAATGGCCTATAAAACACATTACTGCGGAAAGCCACCCAGGCAAGGCTGATCGCGAAAGCCGCGACAAGCTTCAAGCCGCAGCGACACAAGTGGAGATGAAGAGCCACACACATATGCAAACAATTGATATGAGGATCAACACCCACACAGAGCTCCACTTAAACACATCATGCACAGATATCACATAAATCTCAAAGATTGCTTGCTTACTTGGAAATGAGCACAGCAAGAATCTCGGATGCACACCCACATAGACACACACGCATACTCTCTCTCTCTCATGGTGAAGTCATTTCTGGGTTTTAGAAATGGCCCATGAATGCGGGGAATTTGAGTAAATTTTGAATTGATGAATGAAACACTCTAAGACAATTTAGGCTACATTAAGCGTGTACTGACGCTATAGATTGGAACAACTGCAATCACAGTGCAATATTGAGCCCAACATTTCCTTTTATGTTATACTGCTAAAGTTGGTAGTTTTGGCATAGATGTACTGTACCAGCAGTATATGTTTTACATATCATCTTAAATGACATGCTTTACATATCCTCTTAAAGCCAAATCTTTGACTGTTGGATTTGAAAAAAAAATATAATGGGTAGCAACTGTACCTGTGAGAGTGGACATTCTTTGGCCAGGGTGCTCTGGTTCATCTCTTTGAGCAGTTCTTTGAGGGCGTTGCGTACTGTAGCGTGGTTCCACTGTTCTGATGGGAGGTCCTCCAGTTTTGCAAAGCTGTATACATAAAACATTATTACTCATCCCTCCATAACAGTAATCATCTTCAATTCCAAATCAATAAACCATGCAGCAGGCCAGGTCAACAATAATCATGAAGATACAGGGAAACAAACCTGGATAGTACACAACTACACAATGCCTACAATCCTCTTTTTTGGAGTCTATGTTTATTTCCTCAGCATCCAGAAGTAAACTGCAATCAGTAGGCATGTCACTCATTGAAAAAGTGCAGATAAAATTTGACCCTGGCCTACAGTACCTCCTGTTCTTATACTGTATAATGCACAGAGCTTTAGATGCTTGCTCAACTGTTTATTATTGACAAAAGAAAAATAATCCCCTAATTATCTGGACACTTGAAATGTTATAATATATATTGAAAAGGGAAACTTTTGTACCTGTTTCCTCAATGCACAGAATAAAATAACAAAATTAGTAATAATACAATATATAGTATAACACCAATTAATATTAATAAATTCTTAATTATTGGTAATTAATTCATTATATAATAAATTATTATATATAACAAACCAATATTTTATTTTCCCATAGTTTGTATACAGAGAATACAATATTTATCAGTTACATTATATAAAAATTATGATTTCACTTAACAGCACAAACACTGTGAGACTTTCCAGTCATCACAAGACCATCAGGAGAAAACTACAAAAAATTAAAAAGTGCTTACACTTCACTTATAAAATAAAATCAATTAAGAGTTTCAATTAGAGGGGTCTTATAACCTGATACCACAAGATATCCTGTTTAAATTCCACAAATAACTTTTTTTAGTTGTTTGTGCTGGCGATTTAAACCTAAATTTGGACCTGTAATTATTTATTTTATATTATTATTCATATTAATATTATAATAATTTGTATTAAACATAATGTATTTTATAATACATTTAGTATTAATTTAAAAAAATGTTTTAAAAAATATATATAAATTTTTTTAAATAAATAAATAAAATAAATTATTTATTTATTTTAAAAAAACATACAACCATTAAGGTTATAGATATGCAGAGGGTTCTCTGCTGAACCAAGGGACTTACCTTTATTTTTAACTCTTTCCCCGCCAGCGTTTTTGAAAAAAGTTGCTTTTCTGGCTTCATGCCTTTTTTTATTATCTACACTTGAATGTGGGTAAGTTTCACAAAAATGCAACGTTTTGAGCAAAAAGCTGAGAAAATCGTGCTTTTGTCAAAAACAACGTCTGGATGGGATTCAGAATGAAGATCAAAACACAGATGGAGTAGATCGAGTCCATCAACACCCACAAAGCATGGTATGTTGATGATCGCGTTATTTTACATATGATATTGTTTCTGCTTCTTCTTTGCCTGTGTTTTGATCAGGAGATTCTGTACTCTTTCAGAAGATGCTTTATAGCACCCCCTATCTTATAACAGTGAAAACACGGAAAGCCGGTAATTTCCGTCTATGGCTGGGAAGTGTTGTCTTACAAATGACGGAAATTTCAGTCAATGGTGGGGAAAGGATTAAGAGTGCTCTGTGGTCTCGTACCTCTGTAGCTGGATGCGTAGCGTGACCATGTGGTAAACGTCCAGCAACATATCAGCAACCGTTGCCTCTGGAGCATCTGTCAGGTAATGGATGGGCAGGGGGTTCCAGCGGCCCACCTTAATGATGCCTGTAAGAAGGAAGCAGAGAGAGAGCGGGAGTCGATTAACCCCACTTGATCTCATTGTGCCGCAAATTTGTGTAGCATATTTCCATGACATCATCAGAGATGGCCTCATGTCAATGATGGCTGTAATGAAATCTCAATAAGAGAATAAGTTAGGAGGGGCTCCACTCCACTGAGTAGGCAGCTCCACCAAACCAGAACCAAAGCTGGCACATTACATCATCACACCAGCACCCACTTACAGCAAAAATCAACATTAGAGGGCATACAAAACATGATGATTGAAAGACAGGGAACAAGGAGTGATTGAAAAGAGGGGATTAAGGTAGGTGGGAAACCAACACGATTTACTGCAAATGGCGAAATATATGATTATACATAAGATATTTAAAGGTTCTCTAAGCGATGTCGAGTGACGTCACTTCTTGTTGACTTTTAAAGTATTGTCAAACAAAACGGAGGCTAGCTAGACCCTCCCTCCTCCTCATCCGCGCACTAACCCCCCAAACCCCGCCCCCAAGTCCTTCTTGTTGGTGATTGGCTGGAACTGTTTGTCATGTTTCGTGGAGCGGGTTAGCCCAGTTTGTTTTTGTTGCTGTTTGTGGAGCCTGGGCTGTCGACAGAGATCGTGTTTCTTTACAGTGTGTTCAGGGGACAGGCAGCCAGCGGTTAGTGAGGAGATGTTTGGTGTATGTGACAAAAAATGTGTTGGCCTAAAAAACGTGTGACATCGCTTAGAGCACCTTTAAGTGACAAGGAAGCATAGTGGGAAATTAGTCTTATTTATCATTTGCGAAATAATTTAGACTACCTGTGGGTTATTGCATCAAACATTTTGGAAAACACACATTTCGGAGGACTTTGTTTCCTTACTTCTCGTTTTCTGCGGTGCTTGATCTTGTGCTATAAAAGCAGACAGCAAGGAACAATAACACCAATGATAAGGCTTTATCTATTAAATACTTATCAGGTCAGGAAGAAGCATCTATCATGCATACTGAGGGCCACACCAATAACTACGGGCACAAGGGGCGCCTGCGGATCTTTTATAACCGAGGAGTATATATAGGAAGCAGGCGCTCGTCTAGCGCATCGCAGCCTCTGACAATTACGTCCACCCCCAATCCCCCCCACCCTCCATTAATGGGCCGTCATAAACACAGGTCAATGATTGTATGATTAACCCAAATTGACTGTTATAAATGCCTCTTGTTGTGCAAAGGAAGAGACGAGCATTTATGGCTGAGGAGTAATCTGTAATCGGGGTGTCATTGTGAGACAAAGCCATATTTATGAACGATGCCATCTGATTGTTTTGTAAATACTCCAGGTAACTAAGGCCATCCCACAATGACCTGGGTGAAGGGACGTCAATTGCTTCCCATTTTAAAGGGATAGTTCGTGCAAGTATGAAAATTCTGTCCTCGTGTCATTGGCAACCTATATGACTCTTTTTCTTCTGCAGAACACAAAATCAGATATTTCGAAGTATGTTTCAACTACAGCCCATGCAGTGAAAGAGTAGTTCCAAACAACATTAGGACCTCACTGACTGTTATAGTGTGGACAAAAAAACCAAGACATTTTTCAAAATATCTTCTTTTGTGTTCCAATTAGGAAAGAAAACCATTCAGGTTTGGAATAACATGAGGGTAAATGAGTAGATGATGATAGCATTTTTGGGTTACCTATCCCTTTAATGGTTAATGAGAAATGTTTTGATGTGTTTAACTATTATTAAACACAATAAAAATGACAGTAAACTGCCAAAAGTTAAGCAGTGATCATCTTTTTAGACTTTTTAACTTTTCAAATGTACTTTTAGGGCAATTTCAGTGCATTCACTTTCAAATTTTCTTCATTGACATAAATTATTTAAATGATACTGAAGCTGAATAGGTTAAAAGATCAGGGTGAGGATAAAACCTAAGCAGCAGTGGCATCTACTGAGGGTGCCATAATTTTTTTCCAAGAACCACACTGTGCTATTAAAAATGAATTAGCTGAATCTATTATGCCCTCCGCTCTATTTATTTCCAGATGTCGCAATCATTGTCAAGATGCGCTGTACATGTAAACTGGACCCTGTGCTCACTGCATTATTAACTGTTTTCCAAACACTGCACACGTCCGTAAACACTTTTCAACACGCACTGCTCGTGTGCATGTGTGGTCAATGTACATCCCTTGTGCGAATGTATATATTCAACACATCCGACAACAGGACGTGAACCTGACCAAAAACCAAGGGTGTGCAATGAATAGATATACAAAACACATCCACACCCACAAACACTTGCACAAAAGTATTTCCCGTGGTCTTAAGAAGGACTGACTGAAGCTGTGAAAACTAAACAATGCTAATCACATTACTATCCACTAAATGAGACCCAGACGCTACCCAGCTTCCCTCTCTCGCTCTCTTTCTCTCTCTTCTGTAATTTTTTTGTGTGCTTGCCTTTAGGCTGTTTGTGTCATCTGAAGAGCTCCAGCTGCTCAATCACACACAGACATGCCGATGGATCACTTACCTCCATCCAGACACTGTATTACCATGCCAGTGCTGCCACTAAATACTGATTGAATGAGTTCATTTTGGACAGAAACCGTTTTTGTAAATTAGCAAGGGCTCCATTTTTTCTCTTAGTTCAGTGTTTGTTTTTTGACTAGAGATAACAAGACATTCTGTGTGACCCATTCCACCGTTTTCTTCCCCTATTGGCTGATTGCTTCTAAACATCTGATCTCTGTATAATATCAGTCTTTAAATGCAAGATATTACTTAATATTTAAAAATATTTAAAGCAATAGTTCCACTTTAGCACAATCAAATATACTTCAGCACTATTTCCGGATAACTAAAGTGCATTAAGTAAAGTAAAAGTACAATTCCAGGGTATTTATATTAAGTACATAAATATGTAAATGTATTTGAAGCATACTTAGCATAACATAATGTATTTCAAATACATTTTAGTATATTTATTTTTGACTAGGGTACATACAAATAAAAAGACCAGTTTTTTGCAAATAAAGAAAAGTGTGCAGTCAGTAAAAAATTTGAGCAAGCAATATGGTACAAAATAAAAAAAATGTAATTATGCATAAATTAAAGTTAATAAAAAATATGAATACATATTTAATAAATTTAATTACTTACAGACTTACAATAATAACTCACCGACATTATAAAACAGATTTATCCAGATTTATCTAGCTTCTCATACAGTATTTCTCATCAGCAGTGCTTGAATTCCTTCCCCATATTATTCTTGAGAAAGTGTGACAAGCCTTATGCTTTAACAGATGTTGTTTCAGTCATCCGAAAGTGTTTTAAACATTAAACGGTAAGCATACTCTAATTGCTGTTATGCAGACTTTCTATGCATTTGTTTCATAATATTTCATTTATAATTAAATCCATAATTTCATGCATTCATCCCGTATTCATCTCCAGGTATGTTGGGCCCTAGAGAACCACAACATGACGGGCCGTCCCTGCTGGTGACCCTTGTAACTACAGTGAACTTCTACCCTCTGAGACACAATCTTCTTGTCTTTGTTCTAAAGGTATTTGTGGAGATGTATTCCCCAGACAGTGAATTAAAGAAGAGAGGCAAGTCAGACAGATGAAGACAATTTGTGTGATTGTGCCCCGCCCACCTTTAGATCTGTCCTCCTTCTTCAAGTCTGTGTTTATATTACTGATTTTTGAGGAACGCTGCTGTTTTGTCTTATTGTGCAATGCTGAATGTATGCCCACCGCAGACGTCTTGAGTATTCAAGACATATAAGACAGATGATTCCAACTTTGAGCAGTAGCCTCAAATAAGACTGAACTGAGATGCTCTAAATGTACTTTAAAGGGATAGTTCACCCAAAAATGAAAATTAGCCATCCTAGGTGTATATGACATTCTTATTTCAGACGAATACAATCTGAGTTATATAAAAAAATCTCCTAGCTCTTCCAAGCTTTATATAATGTGGCCGTTTCTGTTTTGAGAAGTCCATAAAAGTGCATCTATCCAGCATAAAAGTGATCCACATGGCTCCGGGGGGTTAATAAAGGCCTTCTGAAGCGAAGCGATACGTTTGTGTACGGAAAATATCCATATTTTAAACTTTATAAAGTAAAATAACTAGCTTCCGGCCAAACGAACATACAGATTTCACTAGACTCAAGCGCAACTTATGCGAGTAATGCGACGTACTGCTGATATTTACACTACGCCATGACGCACACACTACTTATGACTTCACAAGTTACGTAAGTTGCTCTTTAGGCGTAAGTAGACTGCGTATGGCAGTGTGTCTGGAAGCTAGAATTTTACACATGAATATTTTTCTTACACAAACGCATCGCTTCGCTTCAGAAAGCTTTTATTAACTAACTATGTGGGTGAACTATCCCTTTAAGTTATGCTCTAAATGTACTTTAAGTGATCCATTTCAATTGCTGTCGAACATTTCAAAAGCCCCGAACGTCAGCGAGTTTACCCCATTCAATGTTGAACAGACAGCTCACTGCAACCAATCTGAAAAAAGCAATGAGCTCTGTTCCAATAAAAAGCGGTAAAATGTATGCCTATTTACAGTATGAGCTAGCATCATACAGAGACTGTGGTAATGTCATTAATGAATCATTTTTAACTTGGAAAGACTCTGTTCCTTGTCATTTTCCTCCCCCAGTACAAACCATTGTTCCCATTGCCACATTAAAATTCCTCCTCCCAGTGCTGGGCTTTCATGTGGTTGGCTGGTGGCTTGGCTAAAGCTTATGTGTATCCATCCATACACACTCACACACACAAACGCTACCTCACACACAGTCTGAAAATGTTCCCTAGCACACATACTCTTTTCGGCAGAGCTAGTTTGGATAGATGCACTGAACTCCTAATGCTTGCCGCTCTGAATGATTTGGCTCCATTGAAGGGACGCCCCACTCGTGAAAACCATCTCTATAGTGTCATTATCAATCATTAGTAATATACACAGGAAATGATAAAACAGGAACGGCAGGCCTAAGAAATACTTTCAGAATGTATTATGGTTTTGGTTTTACTATAATATCATAATATAAGCATCTTACATCTGTTATGATATCAGTATTTTGTTGAAAATTCTGTAGATCCATAAATGATCTTTTGGGGGACCCTGTGGAAAAGGCTAGTTAAAGGGATAGTTCACCAAAAATGAAAATGTGGTCATCATTTGCTCACCTACATGATGTTCCAAACCTGTGTGAAGCACAAAATGTCTTGGTGCTTTTTGTACATACAATGAAAGTCAATGAGGTCCAATGTTGTTTGAGAAGAAGAAAGAAAAATACATACAGGTTTGGAAGGACATGAGGGTTTGCAAGTTTGTCTGGGAAAGAAATGGCTGTAAAAAATTAGATAGAGAGGTGAAGACCCCTGGCAACAACAATGACAGAACTGACTTGTTTCTGATTGGCGGCCAGGTGTGTCAGATGGCAGATGGAAGGCTTACTCACTTTGGTCATAAATCTAAGTATATCAAAGGATTCGTTGAAGATTGAGATAGATCATCACCCAAATATTCTTCAAGAATTCCCCAGTAATTTTCCATGGTAAAAAAGCATACAGGTTTCGAACAAAACAACGCAATTTTTTGGGTGGCCTATCCCTATAAGTAAAGCATTTCTGCAAATGTCTACATTAAAAGTGGGAATAAGTTAATTGTCATTACTTAAAGAAGTGACGGTTCGGCCTCTATCAGGCAACAGAGCGTATTTTCATCAAAATGCCCCAGTTCGACCTGTTGTGGCTGGATGTCAAACGTGGCAGCACAACAATGCGCTAGTGCTGTAATCCATCACCACTGTTAATTGTCTGAAGCCTTAAAGTACAGGTCTGTCCATACAATTCTATAAAAGTACTCAGACCCTTATAATTGAAATAAACAATATCTCCCAGTTAATTACTGGTCAGGCTAATTAAAGAAAGGCAGCGGTGCTGGGAGAGGAGCTTAAATATACCACTACGAGAGAGCTATGCAGGACACAATTCAAACAGGGAGAAAATAGATGGGACTCTGTGTAATTTTGGTTGTGAACCGCAGAGGAAAAAATGTATAATTTAAGCCAGAAATTATTCATTTAACATAAACGCTTGCTTTAAAAACAAAAAGTATTCATTTGAGAGGAGAGCTCTCCCTCTTTCCTTCTATCGCTCATTCTTTGCTCATTTTAGGAATAAACTGAAGTCAGTGCATCTTGCTAGTGCGTGAGCGAGCGAGCGTTCTTTTAGCCGTATCCCTCACCTTTTCTTTTATCTGGCCTCATCTGAACTGATGACTGTGAGGGTGTGTGGATTATATTGAGTCTAAATGGTTTGTTTCCCACTGCTGTTCTCTCCTCCTCCGTGTCATTTTGATACTGTTTCTGCGTTCAGAGGAGCAGCGTCTGGGACTTCCTCACAGATGTGGCGCCATTGTGTGGGCCAGACAGGACTATTCTGCCTTTCCAATCATAATGCCGCTTCTATCAATTTGCATACTTGTTTAATTTTATAGCACATGACGGTATTTTTGGAGGTTACACAAATGGCTTAAGGAGTCGCTGTGTGGGTAACATATTGATCCTGTTTTTGGCTCTTCAAAGGAATCTCTAAAGGGAGTGCTTTGAGTGAATTTAAAGACACGCTGTTGACCTGCGAGTGACTAATGTTGTTCTTCTGTTTTCGTTACTGTTTATATTTAGTTGACACAAAAAGAGAAAGGATGCTTATTTAACATTATTTTGAATAACAAGCTGCAGTCACACTTGTAAACACAACCACGCAGCATTTAATTTTAAAAACTACAATCACTACAAAAACGTAGCAGACATTTCATCAGCCTGACTTGAACGATCATTTAATTAAAGGTTGAAACGTGGCCTTAAATTTTCGCTCTCTCTTTTCTGACAAAACTTTTAGAAACCCTTTCAATAATACGCAGCACCATCAAATCACACAACAAACTTCTTTCTAGTCAGACGTACAGAACGTGAACTGTGACTACAAATACTACAAAAAAATAAGTTCACATAAATGCCAAATGCTCAACCTATGAAGTAAATAGTGATGTCTTTTGTTACCGTGAATCAACATGAAGTAATGACCGTTTTAAATTTTCTTCATACTTCACAGAATACAAGTAAACTCTCAATCTTCTGGGAGATGACAATCATGTGCACAACAATAAAGTAAAGCATTATATTGCTTCTTTGGCCCACATACTCATAAACATTCTCCATATACACACACAAACACACACAGAAAATGGACACATACTATGCGAGTACAAAGACCTTGAGCAGACACAAACATGCATTCCCACAAATACCACATACACACAAATACAGTTCACACGCATCTTTTTGTGACGTGAAAGTACCGCATTCTTTGCCTCGACATTTCCTTTGTTCTTGTTTAATGAGATTTTCAGACTGTCTGTGATTCAGTTATGTTGAGCAAAAGCCCTTCCTCCTCAGTGTTCTCAGACACATAAGCCCAAAACTGTATATTCTCCTGTCAACATCTCAACAGCCAGACCTCCTCCCAGCACTACTTGCCACTCTAATAGCTCTGAACTGTAATGGAATGGCATACTAGTGTTTTACTCCCTGCATACTGTGCAGTGCATACTGTTCCATACTGTATACTGCCTAACATACTGCCTAAAATAGAATGTGAAAGAGTATGTATTATGGAATGATTACACAGGTAAAATGCATGTTTAATTCAGGCATCTAGTTATCAGAATATAAATATGATTATTATCACTTTTCTGTAAGTTCCTTTTCATTCACATTAGGTATAAAAAAATTGAACAAAACTTTTTACAGAATTTACTAATCTAGGTTCATTTCAATTTCTAAATAAACATAACATTATCATTTTGTTTAGAATAAATGAACATCTACTCTAATGTATTATATGAATGAATGCCAGTTAACAACAAACAGTATATTTGTGAATTCATAATAAACTAGATTAATAAATATTGTAAAACAATATATAATTAAGATATATTTTTGTTATGCATATCTCATACATTATCTAGTGATGATGAATGAATCTTATTGTAAAGTGCTTCCTGAATGAAAAAGATGTACACTTTAGAATACTTTTAAAAAGTGCACGTATTACTGAAATAATATAATTTAAATGTATCTAATTACGTGCAAACTGAATGTAATCCTTTCGGACACGTAACTGCATGATATTTGCAATTAAATGAAAATGTGTTATAGTTTAAATTAATTAAATTCAAATTCAATTGTCGAATGTACTGACAAGCATTTATAGTAAACTAAAGTATACCTTAATGTCATTTCTATTGAATGAAATTTAGTACATTTAAAATACATACATTTTCAAATAACACGTTACAGTTAAAATGATAATTTAGTACTTTACATTTGAAATGATTACAAAGTGTACTGTTTTAAAAGTGTACTTAAGTCTGTTAAGAAACTTAACCAAGTTACAAACTTAAATGGCCTTTTATTTAATTAATATTATATTAACTGCAATACTTTTTTTATATATATATACATATATATACAGATTAAATTAAATTATTGTAAACTACAAGGGACTTTTGTATAAAAACTTTTGGCAGCTCGATTAAGTAGTAAATCAAGATAAAATGTTAAAATATCTGATATTGCTTCTGGTTTGTCACACTGGAAATGGAAGTAGAAGTTCTTGTAAGATTTTTTTCCTTCTTTAAAAAAAAAAAAAAAAATGAAATTGTAGATGTAAATTGATCAACTGTGTTGAACATGCACTCAGAGTCAAGGCACTTTTGAGCTCACCGTGTGCCTGGGCTGCAGAACTATGGGAGTAGCCAAGGGCGAGAAGTGCAGTCTCAACAAGCTGAGTGAAAAGGATGTCCTTCCTGACCAGCACAAACTCGGCATGTTCCTCCCGGCTCTCTCCATCTGATATCATCCCTCCATCCATCTGCTCCACCACGCAGAAGACTGGAATCATCAGACCTGCAAAACAGTTTTTAAATATTAAATATTTAAATATTAAAGTGGATAAATTCCATCCACTGCTCTATTTCTCGATCAAGTGTATATAGCATAATTTTGAATGGTTGCCAAGTGCTGTTTACGAGAAAAGTCTTTTCATTTGAAATCATTAATGATTAATAGGTTCATCATTGCATTTGAATAAGCTGGACAGGGTCAATCAGTTGTCCACCGGCCCATGCAAATACTCAACATGGACAAACCGTCCAGATTGTGTATCAAACCAACCATCAAACCAGCTCCATTATACTCCATTAAAGCTATCATTTTTTATGATGCCTCCCTCCACTTTGTCAGGGCAGCTGAGCTGATATCTCCTCAAGTCAACGGACTGCGTGCTAACGGCAGGGTCACTTAATAAAATTAGTTGCATGAGCCTCCAACGGATATGCAAACGTTTCTGCCTTGTTCGAGGTTACGGCTCATTGCGCTGTAACTTAACACATTATTTTAGAAGTGTTGACTTTGTTAACATTTAAGTAAAAAACGTTTATGATTAACCTGTAAAATATGTTGGCAAGTGATTTGGTGGGTACAGAGTCCCGTCTTTTAATGGGATGTCGGGATGCATAGTCATTCACGGCTTGTTGAGAAATAGTACGCAGTACCTAATGATGCCTGAAAAACACACATCCCATCCAAGTTACCTGGTTAATCTAAGCCTAACCAATCTCCGTTGGTTTGTTCAATTTCCCTGAAGTGCTCAATAGCCTTCAGACTATTAATTAATACCCCTCAGAAAATATAGGCTGAAAGCATTAGGCAAAATCCCAGTTGTACTAATAAGAGCAGAGCAGTACTAAACTCTCTCTCCTAATTTATACACACACACACACATACTTCCATTCAAATACATATACATTTACGCATGGCTCCCAGAGCCCCTTGGTTTAATCAGTCAATTCCTATATTTCTATTTCCTTTCCATTAATCACCCTGGCTTCCAGTTTAGAATGCTCTTGTGGAGTGAATTACAGACCAGGGGCCGGTGCCAATTCAAGTAAGTGAATTTCCCCCAACAGGGAAATATAACTGTCAACACACAGCAGCTCCCAGCAGTCTCTCTCTCTCACTCTCTCTCTCTCTCTTTTTTCTGCTAGCTCCCATGGGCTCATCCCTGTATACCCTGTATGAGTACGGTTTCATCATAAGATAACAGCATGTGTGCGAAGCCCGTGTCTGACTCATTTTTATGTGTGTGTGTGTGTGGGTATATGTTTAATTGCGCTGCAACACTTACTCTGAGTAAGTCTCTGATTGTCTGTTTTAATGCGCTTTAATGCCAGAACATATTTTTTCGACTTCTGTAGGAATGTTAAAGTACGTCACAAGTTATAGACTTGTAAGCATATCTGTGGACTATACTGTTACTATAATTACTGCGTAATTGCTTTAAACTGTATAAAAAAATTTGACACTGCCATTGACTAAAGTAACAATATTAAATATTTTGAAATATAGCATTCTGCAAATGAACATGTTTAAATCAGCATTTTTGTTGGGTTCCCTGAAAGAATAGATAAACAGCCTATACAATTTGTATATTTTTATCAGCCAGATAAAAGCAAAATTGCATTAGACAATAATAATAATTCTAATCATAAAATGTATATTGAATTAACTTATTTTTTAAGTTTATTTTTAAGTTCATACCATTGGCAAATTGTTTTTAAATAATTTGCTGAAGAGGTAAAACATAAGATTTATATTTTCTCTGAAAAACAGACTTAATGTCTTGTGCAAATTTGCAAGTAAATTAACTTTGTTTGACATACTTTAGCTGGACAACAAGACAAATTTTTTTTAGGATTTTTAGCAATGCAGGCATGTGTCTGAGTGATTTTGAATCCATGTCTGAATTGCGTGTGGCCCACTCTTTATTGTTCCATTGTGGTTTGGAGAAGACTGCTTCAAGACAACCTCTTATTATAACTAACCATTCGGCTCATCTGCCAGGGCACAGGAAGAGAGAGCCCCACTACTTTCCTCCTCCACCTATTCCAAAAAATTCTTAAGAAAAGAATCTGTTGACATAGATATTTTGTCAAATCAAATCTGCTTCAGAGGTGTACAGCAAATGATACTCACACATTCACACAGTCATGAACAAACACACAGTATGTGTTGCTTGGCCCCTGAGAAATATCTAATCTATATCTGATATGTGGCTTTATGATTGGCTGCACACATTGCTCGCTGTCAATGTGAATTACAGCTTGACCTTGATGACATTTTGGCCCAATGCATAACATCAGGGATTACAAAGTGTGAGTGATGATAGAATATGACACTTGTGCTGTGGCTGTGTGTTGTTGGACACGGAATGCATGTTTCATTAGAGGACAATATGTAACAGCTTTTTTGTCAGAACCACTTTACCTTCATGAGTAACTGTATGCGGGTTTCTGGACATGATAATGAAGCAGTCACAACAGTATATATATATATTGGTAGTGTATATATATTTTTATATATATTTAAATAAATTTGTCAGACCAAAGGACTAAATTGACATTTGTTTCAGGTGTTTCTCTGAGCATTTTAAGAGAAAAAAAAAGAAACAAATGAGATAACTGTTAATAATTTGGCCCAGATAATTTTCTCCTTTTCTCTGAGAATCATGAAGCTTGATGATGCAAGTCCAAATAAATAAATCTATCTAGAAAAAAAAAATTGCGATATCTGACTTGTCATTTATTTTTGGAGAAAATCTAGATGAAAACCTGAATTAAAACAGTTCATGTCCATGTTATGTGTCAACTACCCGTGTGTAAAATCATATTGAAGGCCATTCAATAATCACAGCTGTGACCATACCGCTGTATGTGGCAATTCGTTAGGATCGCTGTAATCAATATGACCCCCCTTCTGATACACACGCTACTGTTGCAATCAATATCTGGCCATGGGGAATAAATCAGCACTATATAGTGCTACTTAATTCACTGAGCTTATAGTGGCCACAACACTCCTGTGAGCTGAACTACAGTGGTGTATGGGATTAAATTGATCTGCATCGTGCACTATGAGCGGCTATTTTAATAATGTCCGATAAAATTGAAAACCAAGCTTGATGATGCAAGTATATATTGGTATAGCTAGATATGCTGTATCTAGCTATACCAATATATGTCTAGCTAATGTGTAGCTAGATTTTCTGTTTGATGTTTATTCACTTAAATAAAATTCTATAACAACTATATCCCTAATCACTAAATATATATTTGTTGAAGCAGTGGTGTAGTGGTTGGTTAGAATCTGTGCTCCAGGGCAGCACATTGTGCCATGGTGCTAGTGTGCGTGATGCTGGTTTGAATTTGGCCTGCAACATGTCCTGTTCCCATCTCTCTCACCATTATTTTCTCTCGTTCTCCACTTTATTTAAAGAGGAAAGACTAAAAAAAGGTAATATGATATAATAGAAATGGAGGGATAGAAAAGGTTGTGAATGTCTTACCGCTGAGAGGTCTCTGTGAGGCCCCATTGTGGCGACTGCGGTGACCTGTAGGACTGCCATTGAGTTCCAGACGGCCCATCTTTGGTGGGGGGCCACCGATATCAGGACTGCTGCTCCCACGTCGCTCGGGGCTCTCCCGCAGACGAGGGCTCTCTCCTCCGCAACGCTCCATCCCCCTCCACACTACAGAGGGAATACAAGCCAGAGGATAAGGACCTGAGACAGAGAGGGAAAGAGTGAGAGACCTAATGAAAACAGTATCAATGCATATGCTTTTTTCTGAACATCATAAATTGTATATCCAATAACAAAAATGAGTAGGTAATAGCATAAGAGTAAATGCATGGGTGATATAATACAGTTTTTCTACAATACAGACTTTAAAATGCTTTGGTACATTTCTCAGATAACAACTGAAATTCTCAAATCTACATGTTTAACCTCCACATCATCTAGTCACTTGTGCACATCATTATTTTGAACAAATAGCAAATGCTTTGGTACATTCATGTAATTGATAAAGAACAATTGTCTGCTGTTTCCTACATTATCAATTAATTTTGTCACGTTGATCAAAATATATTATTACTGGTTCCCTGTTGAAGTCTTAATCCTCAAAACATCTAGGCATTAGTTCCTTGCATAAGTCATTAAATGCAAAATGGTGGGACTAGTTGTCATAAACTGTCAAGCATTTTCTATACATCAGGTGTCCTGACTTAATGAACTGCGGAGGTGAATTTTGAATTGACATATGAAGGGAAATGTAAAGGGCTAGATCAACCAATGATCAACTAGTTCTCTAAAGTAGCTCAGAGGTGCATCTCATGAAGCTTAATTTGGCAAGCATATACATGTTTAGACAGAGCACAACACAAGTGTTACAAAATCTGACAATGGAAGAACAGCAAGGAAACAAACAGGGTCAACAGCCGGGAAGAAGAAGAGGAGTGAGGATGTGTGGTGGAAGGGTACGGAGGCAAAACAGTGGAAGAGGTAGAAGAGGCCAAGATTGTAGACATGTTTCTGATGAAATAACCACCATTATTTTGAACCAAGTTCTCAATCATGACCTTACAATGGTTGAGGCGGGTCGAAAGGTACAGCTGAATGTTGGGAGAACAACCGTGTCCTCAATGATTCAAATGTTACAGAACAGGAATGTAATCAGACAGTGTGAACTATACTGTAATACTGTGTACTTACTGTAATGGTATTGTATATTACAGTAGTCCACTTGCATTTTACATTATACAGTAAATATACTTATATAATGTAACATAAATTAAACGTACGTATACAGTATGTGTGTGTGTGTATGTGTGTATATAGTCCTCTTTTCCTTTGTATCGCAATGACATGACACTGTAATTTGTTGACAGACCAACACTAAAAGTGTAACTGAATACTGTCCAGTCTCTTGCAATCAATATCCCACATAGAGTAATGTTTACATTTGTGCTGTTGAAATGTATATGCCATACAGATAAAGTGCAGTCTTGTGTAGACATAGTTTACATCGAAAATACTGACAGAGTACACTGTTATACTGACAACACGACTAAGCATTTTGACTATCTTGTTTGTGAACAATGACACATGGACTTATTCCGATGGCACTGATCTATTCATTGACATAACAACTTACTTTTGAGAGATTAACTGAGGATTTTGAGCAAGTCACAGGCTTTTGCAGGTAATCCATTGGGTGGTGCTGTTTGTACGAATTTTTTTGAGAAATGCACTTAAACTGGTTTGCAAATCCTAAGGATGATTCTAGAAATGTACCAAAGCGACGGATATTTTTTTTTTAATATAACGACATAATAATACATTACAGTATGTTCTGTATTTTATTTCCAATTCATGGTAAAATAAAAAAAATATCACATATGAAAAATAAATAAATGGGTGTATTCTCTCAAATCTAGCCTGTCTAAAACGTAAATATAAAATGTACTGTAAGAAATTAGGATTCCCCCCAAAAAAGATGTTTTGGTCCTCACCATGACATGATAATGATTCATCATTTTGATTCAATAAATGATTAATTGAGGAATCAACCCTAAAAGGAATCAAAGTTCTTAAAGATCTTATTTGATTCTTAAAGGACTGCATACAAATTATGACTGAAATTCGATTAGCATTTTACCTTAAAACATTTTAACAAGAAACCTCACACATCGCTGACCTTTACACACAAACTGAACAGCTGCTGCTAACAGACAACAACACAAGGACATCCAACTCAGTGTCCCAAAATACAGGGAATAGTTTAAGAGGACGCTGGCATCTTATCAAGACTATCAGCAAACAGAGAAGCTGAGGCCCAGTGTCTAGTTCTGCTTCAGCGTCTATGGGAATGTAAACTGATGAGTATGTGTATTTATATGTGGAGCCAAAACGTCAGACCTTTAGGCAAATATACTATATGAAAGCAAAGATGCTCAAAATCTTTTTATGAATTATTAAGTTACTTTAAGATGTTCAAATGATATCTGTATGTGTGTGTGCAAACGTAGTATTTTTGAATGCACGTGGATGTCTGTCCACATTTGTCTGAGCTAGGGATTTCCGTGGGGACAATTTCCAGAGGTCTTTGTTTTACAGCCAAAGCTTTAATATTGGTAATGTCCATCAGAGTCAGTGCCAGGCTGTATTGAGTCCATGCCAAAAGTTAAAGATTAGAAACATACAGTACTCTCCACTTGAGCGCTTTCATTTGCATATCACTTATACAGAGGGACGATAGATAGATAGATAGATAGATAGATAGATAGATAGATAGATAGATAGATAGATAGATAGATAGATAGATAGATAGATAGATAGATAGATAGATAGATAGATAGATAGATAGATAGATAGATAGATAGATAGATAGTCCACCTTCTCTGCTATTCTCCTCACAGTGGTTATGCAGAAAACAGCTCTTCTCTGGACTTGACGAGAAAAACATCATTATGGAACATAAAAAAGTCCAATGAGAATTACAAGCTGGAGCTAAATTTTCAAAATGAATAATAAATTAAAAACATTAGCCTCTGCGTGATTAAAACCTTAACTCGGGTCCAGAAATCAAGTGTCTGAATTCTTTAGAGTTTAATAAGCGGGTGGGAGGAAAAACACTTTAAAAGCATTTGAATGGAAAGAAATGTGTTAGTGTGCTGCTGAGGGAAGAAGAACTGATGGTCCACACTGTACTTTCACACTTACACGCGCACACAACAAAGAGATTTACAGAGCCTTTGAGACAGTTTAATAAAGCTCAAGTGTGAACAATACTCTACAACAATGGACGCTTGTGGAAACACTTGCATATACAAAATTAATAGCATCCATTAAACACAGCTTTTCAATTAAAACTGACATTCCCCCAGTGCACATGCAGCCATTACCTCTCATTTCTGTTGTACTCATCATGTCAAAGTTTTTTAAAATGGCACAAGGTTTGAACTGAGCTGCACCTCACTAACAATAGAGGATAAGGTCCTAAAGTATAACAGATACAATGCGCTGCTGTGTAAGATCACTGTGATCCACTTCAACTCTGAGGCGAACAGATCTGCTTTTAATTAACAGCTCGTCTGTGGGCTTGCCCATTAGACTTGCAGTCCCAGGGGTAAAATAAAATCTCTTCACAAAGTGTCTCTAGATGTTTCAGAAACTTGCACAGAACCAAGCGAGAAATCTAAAGAATGAAACCGCAAACGGACACAATGTCCATTGTGCTTGATCTGTTCACTGCCTTAAGTGACTGAGAGCTTTTCATCTGTTTGCCTACAAGCTGCTCTGTATTATCAACCCTCAAAGTCTTTTATCGGTCTTAGTTCATCTGGCACTGATGGGCTGTCTTTGTTCCTTCCTTCACTGGGCTTCACAGGTTCAAACCTGTCTGATTTTAATGAGTCTTCCGATCCCAATCAAGAGGTTGTCTGAATCTCTTCTCCCATCTCTATGCCAATCACACACACACTCTCTCTCTCGCGCTATCTCTCTGATCCTCCTCCACCCCAGCACCAAATATTTGATGGGTAGATAAAACCAGCTCTAGTGTGTCTGCCGTCGATCACGTACGGAGATGACAATGGCTGTGCAAAGATGGTGCTGTAAAAGTCTCTTCTGGTCAATACACACCGGCTGTGACAGATCAATACAAGCTTACTGAAGAGGCACACTAGTTATAATACACTATTTTGGATACTTTTGCAAAAAAAGTTTTGGAATTCATTAACTCAAACGCAAGGTGAAATAAATTGTGCGATTAAGATGGTAAAAGCCCTATAATTCAGCACTAAAAGATCTCATTCAGATTTTGCCGAACTAATGGTCAAATGCCTTCATCAATGCTTTATCAGCATTCAGTGTATTCCTCTATTTCATCAACAGATTAGAGATCAATTAGTTGTTCGTGTCTAAATTAAAATGAACTATTAGAAAACATACACTGGAGAGCTGTTAATAAATTAAATGTAAGTTTCGTATTCAGAGAAATTATGTTCTTAAGTTCTTAAAGTGATAGTTCACCCAAAATAAAATGCTGATATTGAAAATATTTAGAATTCCCCCCTCCCCAAAATATATTTTTTCTGTTCCACAAAAGAAAGTCATATAGGTCTGGAATAACATCAAAGTAAGTAAATGATGACTTTTTACATTTTAGGTGAGCTATTCCTTTAGTTTACAATCATCATAAAAGTGTGATTGGTCTTAAGTGCTGTCCTTCCGATTGGTTGACATCAGTTAAAAAGAGTAATAAATCAGTACAAGGTATCAGGAATATTCAACAAAAATTATGAAGATAAAAAAAATGAAAGCAAGATCTTGATTCAACATTAAGAAATTGCTTACAGTAAGGTGATTAATAGCAAGAAGCCTGTCAAATACAGAAGTTATAGTATTTAATAGTACAGCTATTACAAATTTGCAGTTTTTGTGTGCTAATAAAAAGCATACATACTAACCAGCCCTCCTGACAAATGACACACAACATGCAACACAACAGCACCTTACATTTCAATGTTGTACCAATAGATTTTCACAACCAGATACACGGTTCCATTTTTATTTGTAATGCTTGTAGCCACACATTACAAACATAACTAATGACTGTTATGTTTAGGGGTAGATGAGAGAAGCCAGACAAGGGAGTGGAACAGAACTCCGATCCCATGAGACTCAAATTTCCAAACTACGACGACCACACTGCAGAGACT